GGATGTCTTTTGAATAAAGACGAAACGTCTCAAACAGAAAATAGTCGATTTTCATGATGAAAAAGGTTGTGTATCTCTTATTATCTATATAAAAAAATGAGTACTTACCACTACCGTAAACTAATCTTTTTTCGCCGTTTGTGACCATTAACTGGGACTTAACAGGCCATTAACAAACTGTTAATTATGACTTGGATTATTGTGCAATTTATAAAACTAATGATGGCATAATAATTTTTGAACTTCTGTTTTCTATTTGTATTTGTAGAAAATGATTCCATATATGTTGATTATTCGCTAACTCAAACAGCGGAATAATTCTGGTGATCAAAATCAAGGTATAGAGTCAATCTGCTTTTACTTCTACTCTGAGAAACTGAATCTACTAAATTAGTCCCAGTGACTTCAAAAAAGCTTTCCAGTTCTCAATTATAAAATGTGTTTTCTACTTCATTTTAGATGTTACAATCGATCGACGGGTTATACCAAATAAAAATGATTCAGCTGCAATGATGATGATTCATAAAATTAGAGATGGATGCTCAGATAATACCATTGATCATTTTTGTAATTTATTTCAAGCATACGAAACAAAAGAATTTTACCCGTCATCTAATAGTAGTAAACGAAAATTAAAACGAGAATATGAACAATTAGAAACAGAATATTCAATATGTAATACATGCGGATTATGTATTAAAACCAAATCATTGAAAACTGAATTATGCCAGCAATGTAAACAAAAATATTCTCATCAATGTTTTCTTAGTTCAATAAAAGCACAATTACAACAAATAAAGAAGCAGCATGGTTTATATCAGTTATTGAAACACACCAAGTCGTTTTCTGGTCGAAGTTGAGTTTTTTCTGTTAATCCAGCTTTTTAATAAAAAAGCAGTTCTATCATTTTCGACATGTACTGCGTTTTTATACCACACATTATTTGCTAAAATGAGTGATGAGACAGGTTTATGAATTTTTGTTAGCATTGTTGATAATATAACTTGTTAGAACAGCAGTTACTAGCCGAAATTAATTTTTCTTACCATACCACACAACTTGTTCTTTAATAAAATGTATCTCACAACATTATCAACATAAAGATGATTTCAGAGGACTGTAAGTACAAAGTACTGTTCAGTATTCCATTAAATACGCCTGTATCCTGGTCCTGACCAAGTGACTTAGATCTATACGTCTCTGAACGTGATTCAGCACAGAATTTGTTTTGTTAGCGTAGCTCTATGCTATTTTTGTTTTCCATTTTTTAATCGGAATGATATAAAGGGCTGCAGGGACAAGGTTTTCTACCCGTGCCTGTCCATGGCTGTAGACCTTTCTGCGATATTTGTCTGTGGACGCCCATGGATTTTTTCATGCTCCCCATGGATTAAAAGTCCGTAATAAAGCAAAAATTCATGACTTAGCCACACAACGGGAAAGATACATTCGTTTACATATCTGAAGGAAAATGTTCACGCTCCTATGCTATGTTATCCTTTCTTTAGCATGTCTTTTACTATTCATGCTTTGTCTAAAAGCACTTCGAACTCATTTTATTAGAAAATTTCCCACAATTCGTATCCGTCGGAGAGGACGATTATCTTTTATTCGCATACGTCATTTTTTCAAGCGTCTATGTCCGTTCATGCCCGCGGACAGCATGGGCATGTCCGCGACGGGAATTCTCGTGCCCGTGCAGTTCTCTAGATATACGCCCTTTGTGTCCACACAAAATCTAATACTCAAAGTATATAGTGGGCTGATTATTCACAATAAGTGAAACTAAATTCCGAGAAAATACTTTTGTACACGTTTATTGGAAGAATATAAGAAGTTTTCGCAGAACATTTTACACCATCAACTATGAAACACACCGGCACGTCTCCTCAAACCACGATGCAAAGACTGGTGCATACGAGTAGTACTATAGCAAATAAATGTTCGGACTGGCTATTGACACCACCATCAGAGGTGTCACGAAGGGCTATTGACACCTCCAACGTCCAGTGCATGAAATAAAGCTAGCACTGGTCAGGTATTTCTGTATTTCTTATCTGATGAGAGGATAGAGAAAATGCCAAGAAGTGCTATATCTTTTAAAAAAGCATGTCTAATTGCGCATGAAAACGTGTAAAGACTCTGAAACAAAGAAAGCAGTCCTAAAGTAAATAAGAAAACAATAAACACCAAAGGTCGTTATATTATAGGTGATAGTGGGAGTACGTTTGTCTGAGCATAAAATTACAAAACAAACGCTATTTCGGTCGTTTGATCGAAAAGAAATAAAAGTAGCAACTAAAACTTCTTAAGAAGGGTCTCAGCGATTAGAGTCAAAAAAAGCAGGAGAATAGGAGGTATAACAAACTCATAGTGGGAATTGTCGAATGCAAGTAAGCAAACTCGCACTAAAATTAGGTCCTCGATCTTTCGAAAAACGCAGACGTGAACTTTTTATTTCTAAATAAAACTCTGTAAACAAGTCTTTATCAATCTGTAGGTTCCATATTCTCATTGCTATTTTGCGACGAGATAAACTGTGGAAGTCAGTCGTCGAAACTGTAGAAGTCGGAGTAGATGCTTCAGATCGGTCGCTACGTCGACGTTAGTTATTATCTTTGTGAGCGTAAATCAAAAATAAAATAGCGAAACAACAGCAACCGCTTTCGTAGTAGTAGCGTGGTTACTATATATATAGTGTGCACTTGCAGTCGTCTGACAAAGAAAAGAAAGAATTTAGGTAATTAACCGTATACTTTTGACATTGTCCTGTAAATTGAACATCTTTAATAGTAAAAAGGCTGTTCTTTAATATTTGGCGCAACTGTAATCCATTCAAGAATGGTTCAGCTTCGGTCTTCACACTAAGCCCTGGAAGTATCAATAGCCCTTCGTGACACCTGCGATGCTGGTATCAATAGCCATTGCTGACACTCCTGGTGGTGTCAATAGCCCTTGTTGGCACCTCATGATGGTGTCAGTAGACTCACCCATAAATGTTTCCATTAGAAAGTGGCTTATGTATTCTATTTCATGAGGGAGTTCCACTTTCAACCTGATAAGCTTTTTCTGATATTTCAAACTTGTAAACTCAACGATCTAACGTAAAAGTCCTCAAGTAAATGTACTTTTGATCACCAAATATATTTAGATACAAAAGATCACCAAAAAAGGATACTTTTGATCACCAAATTTTCCAGCATGCATTTCGCATTTTTATTTCTCAATCAAGTACAATATACAACACAAATATGCTCATTGAGATTTTAACCAAACGAAGAATATTTTACCTTTTGTATATTATCGCTAACTTGATACAAGTTAAATAAAATTGCTAATCCAACAGAATGTTTACACGAATATACTAATAATAGTACAACAAGCGAACAGGATTGTTGCCACACCAGAAAACCATTGAATATAACCCACCAACGAGAATGATAAATACCTAGCCAATAATACATTCAATAGTTTTCTAGTGTGGCAACAATTCTGTTCGCTTGTTGTACTATCATTAGTGTATTCGTGTAAACATTCTGTTGGATTAGCAATTTTATTTAACTTGTGTCACGTTGGCACGATAAAATACGTATTCAACCATTAGGCGCGCGGATAGCAAAAGGGTGTCTCAAGAAAGTTAGCACAGCTTTAAATTTTTTAAAGGGATATAAATAAAACTGTAAAAATATTGTTCGTTTGGTTAAAATCTCAATGAATATGTGTGTGTTATACATTGTACTTTGTTGAGAAATAAAAATGTGGCATGCATGCTAAAAAATTTGGTGATCATTTGTGTCTAAAGAATTTGGTGATCAAAAGTATCTTTTTTTGGTGATCAAAAAAATTGATACCCAAACTCCTCACTCACTTTGTATTCAAAGGAAGGGAATATCTGAGCATTTCTCATTGAGTAGTGGATAAAATAGTCGACAGAACTCATTTCCATCTCTATAAACTTTTAAAGACGCGTTTATCTTGCAGAGTTAAAAATCTTAAGCTTTCTTTAGGGTGTCCAATCATTTGAAAAGTCAAGAACGATGATGAAAACATTGTTTCTGTATTTTATTTTCACGCCATTTATTGAATGTTATTTTCATTTACATTATACTGATGAACAATCAGTAACGTCACTTGCATATAAACATTGTCTATACTTATATGTAAAAAATGAAAAGAATCTGAGTGTCGAATCATTAATACCTTATTGTATTCGATCTCCAACTTTTGATCATAGTGTAGAAATACAATGTTACGGTAAAGAATATAGATTTGATGATTTGAAATTGTTAGAAATAACTGTTGATGACCTATATGGATGGAATGCACCCATTGATATGATGAATAATTATCAAAAATATCGTCTTGGTTTATCTACGAATGCTAATCAACTATATTGTAATTGTACAGATAATCACTGGTTTGGTCCAAAATGTGAGTACACATTAGGTCAATCAAGTGAACAACAAGTAGAAATTGTAATTAGAGAACGTTTTAAAATGATGGACAGGTATTATAATCCGAGAACTGAAAATATAACATGTTATAATGCAATTCCGTGTGAGAGTATCGTGTGTATAGACTGGCGCGATATATGCAATGGCATTGTTAATTGTAAAGGAGGTGAAGATGAGTTAAATTGTCTAGAACTTGAAATGAGTGAATGCAATTTAGAAAGCGAATATCGCTGCAGAAATGGTCAGTGTATACCAAAAACCTTTGCCTATGATCACATTTATGACTGTATGGACTCTAGTGACGAACTAATTTCATTTACTTCTGTTTTTCATAGTTGTTATACTGATTTTTCTCTTCACTGTGAGGAACATAATTGTGGCTGGCTAAAGTTTTCTTGTGGGTATGGTGAATGTGCCGCTACTCCGGTTGAAGAAGCGTGTGACGGACACAGAGCTCAGTTATATCAGAGAAAATTGTTTGAGTTTGAATCAGACAAAAATATTAGTATATTGTGTTGGAAGTATATGATCTGCGTTACGACTAATATGCATTTGAGGTTAGCCTATTTATTTAATATTTCATGTGAAGATTTATGTCCACCATTTGGAACCTGTTCTGACTTCCTTCGATTAACATGTAGCAATATCTATAGTTTTCCATCAATACCTTTCATGTATCCATCTGTTCATCTTTTATATGACTCCGAACGATACAATTTTCATCATTGGAAATGGACACCGATTTTTATTTGCTATGATGATAATGCCTGTAAGTTATATCCAACAAACTTGATTATTAATAATTATAGTTGTAGAGAGTTTTACGATGAAAGAGACGCTTTTTCTTTCCATGCACATGCACTTGAATATTATCCTAAATTGTATTATTACTTGAAACAACTATTTTACTATTGTCCAATTCAGAATTGTTCAGATTATTCCTCTACATTATTCAAATGTTCTACATCTGAAAAATGTATATCAAAATACCGTGTAAAAGATGGCGTCAGTGATTGTCATAGAGACTTCGATGAACAATATAACGATGTATGTAACTTTAACTTGTCTAAACATTTTAAATGTTTCAGTTCTACCAATGAATGTATACTAAGAACTAAACTTCTTGATTCGAAATCTGATTGTACCGATAATAGCGATGAGCTGTATCCAATTAAATGCCAAACACCAAATGATTTGGGTTGTCGTTACATGCAAGGATTCGCTGTTCCTATAAGCTACTTTCTTTTTCAAGAGATTTGTAATGGTATCATTCATGATGAACTTCGTTCGTCTGACAACGACACAGATGAAACGGATTGTAGTGAGTGGCAACTATCATGCAGTACCAGATATAAACTATGTAACGGCATGTGGAACTGTGCTGATCAATGGATGTGCACTAATAAGAGAGAGCGTGTTTATAAACAGTTTACATTTACAGATTTTAGTCAAAATCCGCCACGGGGTGCTACAAACGAGGCTGTTGTACCGACACCAGTAGCTTTAGAGGATGCTCTACCCAAGTTATTAGTATCGCCATATTTAGTTCACCATTGCAATCGTGGTATTGTACTTACATCAAAACAAGGTAGAGATGAATGTCTTTGTCCTCCAAGTTATAAAGGAACTTTATGTGAATATCAGAGTAAGCGTTTGACTGCTTTTCTTCAAATTGAAACCTCTGCTGCATTTGGTCGTAGTGTTATCTTTAAATTAGTCATTTCTGTCGTAAGTAACAATAATAGTATCGATGACAGAGAAGAAATTACTCATGTGCCGTATATTCAGACAAATTTGTATAAGCATACTTTCTATTTAATTTATCCAGAGCATTCGAATGATTTCTTTGTCCATATTGATGTTTTTAGAGTAGACGTAGAACATGTTGAATTCATATCCTCATGGTATTATCCGATTCCATTTAAATTTCTTCCAGCAAATCGTTTAGCAGTGAGATTAACATTAAATATAACAAGAAATAAAGCATGCGATAAAAACTGTTCTCATGGCGTTTGTATGATTTATGAGAATGCCGTTGACATTCACCGGTGTATATGCGATGAAGGTTGGTCTGGAGCACAGTGTGATAGGGCATCATCAACAATTATTTGTTCACCAGGATCAAAGCTAGTAGATTCATCTGATCGATGTGTTTGTCCTCTTGGAAAATTTGGCCCAGATTGCTTTGCTCGAATCGATCCGTGTAGTCACAAACTTCGGTGTTACAACGAAGGTACATGCGTTCCGTTAGACATGAAAGGATCGAAATATGTTTGTTTGTGTACACAAAGCTATTTTGGCAATCATTGTGAACATTCTGCTGCGAAAGCAACAATTTATCTAAGTGATATAAGTCGTACGAGTATTCAGAATCTACCTATTGTTGTTGTTCATCTCCTAGATGTATATAATAATATTAGTGTTATGTCTGTAGAAGAACGCTATGTATTCAAAGATGTTCGAATCCGCACAAGTTTAACTGTTTTTCGAGAGAAACATATCTATTTGCCGAATTTTGTATATGTACAAGTATTTTTCGATATAAATAATCTCCATAGTGAGTATTATTTAGTTGCTCTTTTAAAACATAGAGTAAAAACACAAAAAACTAATATGTTGTCAGCAAATCGGTGTCCATATGTTAGTGAATTATTGAACAGTACAATAATGAATAAGTTTTCCACACTGAACCGGTATAAATTTTATTATAAAGCATGTTTTATACAAAGCGTTAAATGTTTTTTTGATAAAAATTACTTATGTTTATGTGATAATGAAGCCAGACTAGAGTGTCTTGTTTTTGATCACACAGCAAGTAATTGTACATCGAATGGTTATTGCTTGAATAGTGGTTATTGTGTTCAACCAGTTCAAAAAGAAGATAAAATTGAGTTTGAATGTTTGTGTCGTGCTTGCTATCACGGAAACTTGTGTCAGTTCTCAACAACGCAATATTCCATGTCACTTGATGCCGTGATTGGATCAAATGTTTTAGCTGAAATGCCTTTAGCAAAACAACCAACCGATTTAAAGGTAACTTTCATATTTGTAATTCTCTTAGTCGCGATCGGGTTTCTTTTCAATTTGTTGTCATTGATCACGTTTTTCCAACAAAAAACACAAGAAGCTGGATGCGGCTTTTACCTATTTAGTTTATGTATAGTGAGTCAGCTAGGATTATTTATGTTCGCAGCTAAATTTATTTATTTACTGAAACCTCAAAGAAATAAAATGGCTGCCTATTGGACTTGTGTTATTCTTGAACTTTTTCTCAAAATATTACCGTCTACAACTAATTGGTTAACTGCATGTGTTGCAATTGAAAGAACTGTGACAGTTATTAAAGGAGTAAAATTTGACAAAGTTCTTAGTAAAAAAGTTTCTCGGTATGTAGTTTTCACTGTAATAGTCGGTAATATTGTTAGTTATTTGCACCAGTCATTTATCCGTCATGTAATTGAAGATCCACGTTCCAATGGTATTACATGGTGTGTGATGAAATTTAGTCATCTTACGTTAGAAAAATATGATATGGCTATAAATATTATACATTTAATTGTACCGTTCTGTATAAATATAATGACAACACTTATATTATTAATTAGTTTAACGCAACCAAAATTTATATCTCTTACTGCGATATCAAATGTTACATACTATAAACTTTTAAAAGAACAAATGGTTTTGTATAAACCATTTGTTCTTAGTCCGTTTGTACTTGTCATTTTACAGATACCACACTTGCTACTGTCATTTACACTTGTCTGCATAGAATCTAATTGGCAAAAATATTTCTATTTAATTACTTATTTTGTTTCATGTCTGCCACTGACGGGTACACTTGTTATATTTGTTTTGCCATCACCTGTTTATAAGAAAGAGTTTATAAAGTGCATAATACGTGCAACAAGTCGATCGACAGTATGATCAGACATGTCAGACTATTGTAATCTGTATTTTTCGCTTTGTGAGTGAGTAAATGATGTATTATACTAGCGGATCGATTAAAACTATAATGTCTGTTTGTGGTGTAAAATTTCAGTAGTCTTTTTTTTGTATATATATGTGTTTGTTGTTAATCGTATTGTATTTAGCAGTATTTTTACTTACTATTTTTGGTACTTTTTTTCTTTTGTTTATTCCATGTTGTTTTCTTTTTGCTATATGAAAAGGCGTAATGCAACGTCTCATATATTATAACTGTGCTGAAAAATGTATGAAAGATAAAACTGAGGAATCTTTCCGCCACATTGAGTTTCTGCAACAATTTCACCGATCTGTTTTTAAAAGCCATTGTAGATGTACTATTCTTGTTTATTTACTTATTGTCTTTTCTTTTGTTATGCATTTAATTTATGATTAAAGCTTAAAACCTTATCATCCAGGAACTTGATTATATTGCGACTAGACAATATACGAAATCTTAACGAAAGTGAACAATTTGAGTAAGAAAGGAAAATTGTGTTAGGCTCTAAAAATCCTATCCTTATCATCACTTAAACATGTTTTCTTTAGTGATTCATAGTATGCACTGATTTCGATGCATTTAGGTCCGGTGTATAACGTTTTAGGGAAACAAATGACGAGAGTTCGTTTATTGTGACACCAATTCTGCACACTACAATCACTATTGGTTAATGACTCATGTCACATGTAAGCGTTGATTAGTGGCGGTTTATAGGAAAAACCTAACATTTTATGTTGATGAGGGAGAACAAATAAAAGATAAAATGCAAGTTGTGAGTGAAAAAATGTCTGTTTTATTGGTGGAAAGAAATGAGGTCCTGTTGCAATGTGGTAGCTTCATCGATTTGTATCAATTTTGCTATCATTATTTGTGGTTATATGGTCTAACCAATTTTATAAGAGATAAAAGTATTTGAATTCTAAAAGCGATAAAAATTTCGGGAATACTTATATTTATATAGTTCTAGTTCCAAGAAACATCCATTTTTGAAATTCAGTTGGTATCAAGAGAACGTCAGATGGATATGAAACTGCTAACATGGATAGACCATGGTCGATTACCAAGTTAAGCGTCAGACAGTCTGAATTTATCATGAAACACTTACACATATCTGAAAAGGTAGTTGAAAAATACCCGATTATAATAAAAAAACAAAAAGAGCCACACCACGATAAATTTGAATTTTCTGTAATTTAGCGACATCAACGTGTCTGTGAATGTAATGTTTGGATAGACCATAGTTTTTTACATATGAACGTAAAAACGAAACATGTCTAGCATTTTCCATTCGAAAGTTATACAAGCTTCCCAAAGAGGCCTTTTATTTTTAAATGGGTTGTAACAACAACTGCATCATCAATTTTTCTAATTTTTATCCAAGGCTCCTGTACGAAATTCTTCTTTCAAAATATATATGTATTTTTAGCACGAAACCTGTGATGGTCCGAAACTATTTTCGGTTCCGTCATTTCTAAAAAACTTTGGCAGTTTCGGGAACTAACTACAAACGTTTTTGGAGGTTTCGTACTTAATACGAAACCTCTTAGGTTCCATAAATAAAACATTTTTGCCCAAGAAGAAACTGTACATCTGTATAAGTAAAGTTTCTGTTTCCCCTGTGATGATAGTATGGTGTTGATGCCCGATATTTACTGCAGACTGTCCCATATCTTCAATTTAAAATTTTGAAAATGACTTTGTACTCCTAAGCTGAGCAGAACGCTCGATACCAGTTTGCAGCTAATCAGAAAAAATGACTCGAAATGATATCGGGTTAAATAATGATACAATCAGAGTACGTTCTGCCATCTCTAAAGTACCTACAAATTTTTAGTCTCCTCTATTATTCGAAAGGTGTGTTTACTTGTTCTGTTCTGTTTGTCTCGTATTATTTTGTAACTATTACCTTTCTGTCTTTTTCTCTTTCATCGTCGTCAAGAATAAACTCAAGGTAGCATGCAGGTTGGAATTTTCCAACATACATCCAGAATCAATCAGTAGAAGAGTCAGTTCAGAATAAAGAACGTGGAGTATTGATTTGTTATGCTTGGCATGCTATGTTTTATTCTTCCAGCGATCTCTATACGGCAACATGTACAGCACAGAAAGGGTCAGAAACAAGGAATTTTACGTCTATTATAAGCGTTGTTCGACAGAGTAATTAAGTGTCTATAATTGATAATTCTGTTCGTGGGATTTCTGACAGAGTCTTACTGAGATTAGATCGTCCCATTTTTAATATCTTCAGCTTAGAAAGGAAAAACGCTTAGTTTTCAGCAACCTAAAGTATCGGAACAAGATGAATAAGTTCAGAAAGACTGGACGCTCCAGCTATAGTAGCCGATCACAATAAAGCGTACATTTCATTTGGTACCGGATTATCTTTAAGAAATAACATATGTTCCCGGTCTGTCGTCTAATACAACAAACACCCTAAACTAACTTAGGGTACATACTCACATTTTCCAATTTACTTTGGCTTCATAGAATCAAAACGTACTTCAATGGATGATTATTATTTAAATAATTAAGTCACAATGGTGCCAAAGTAATTCGTCTAATATATAGTATGACATGAGTCGAGTTCGGGTGTTATTGGAAATGGATTTCTGAGTGGGGCGGACTCTTAATAAGAATTTCAGTGATAAATATATTACATAAACTGATCATTTGTTCAGTACACGATTTCCATGCTTTGCACGAGACGTCGTCATGATTATTCTCAACATATTCTTCTATCTAAAAGAAAATGCCCATGAGTCAGAACAAGATGCTTCATATATTTCACTAAAATCAATTACGTCATAACACTTCAAATTAGCCTCTTTATTATAGAATGAAACAGGTGTTTATTCATGCTACTATTCATTCTGTTGTTTTTTACATACAAAGTAACTATAATAAAGTTGTATCGTGACGATCAAGTGGATGACAGATGTGATAAGGGACTTATCACCCACGATTTTGGAAACAAGTACGTGACCTCATGCCCACAGTGTATGACATGCATTTTAAGTATTTAAAAGGGCCTAGTCAGTAGAGACATTCGCGGTCAAAAACCACAATTCTGCACGAGTCTGACATTAAAATTTGTAAGTCTATCGTCTTTTTTTGTTTTGGTAACAATAACATTTAGATATATTTGACAGTGTGTGGTAGGCAAATGGGGATGGGGGTGAGGACAGTGTGAGAGTGAGTTCGAAAAGTATTTTCACTTAAAACACACTTGACGTTTTCAAGTGCTTATCTGATATGGAATTAGTTCAAGTAGAAGCCATATCAAAGTTGTAAGAACGAGTAAGTTAGGTTGACCGGTAACGGAAGCCGTCAAAAATAATGGAATGATTAGAACGTAGACGTAGACTATATTCTACGCGATGAAAAATCTATGCGTAGAATATACTTTTCTACGCGTAGATATAGATGAATATCGTCTTCTCGCCTTTCTTTTTCTCTTACTTTGGAAAAAGAGAAAGAAAGCGAAAAATCTGTTATAGGCACAGAATGGAAGAAATTTTCGTTTCTGTCTATCGAGTCTGGAAGTCGAAGACTGAAAGGGATCCTTTTCTAAAAAATAGAACTGGTGCAAAAAATGGAAATGGGTCTTCTTTAATTAGTATACTTTTAGTTCAAATTTTGAAACGTTCCCTTAATCATAACGGTTGAAAAATGTTAAGAAAAATATGAAGATATTGCACAAAATTTAAAGTATGTTCGATGAAAAAGCCTCCCTTCTGTATTACTAACATGCACATTTAATTAATTAAATATACATCTTGTAAACCATATCTAAATTGACTTTTTTCTTACATTCTGTCCGAATTAGTGTACATATATTATTTTCTCAAACAAAAATATCAAGTTCTGATTCTGACCATATACATCACAAATCACAAGAAATTCTGAAAAGCCGAACTAGAAATGGACACTCCATGATTAATTTCTATTTAGCTGGTTAACGAGGGAACATCTCCAAGTGTGAGTCTCAGTTTTAAATGGGATATGTACCAGTTTGTAGAGCTCGACGAGCTGATTCTTCTGGTATGTTCCGTTTTTGCCCATAGACCTTAAATGAGAAAATTG